TTCCGGCAACAACAACTGCCGCAAAACCAGAATCATCAGCCAAAACAACTGCTGCCGTGGAATAATCAAGAACAGCTCCGGCAACAACAACTGCCGCAAAACCATATTCATCAGCCTGAACAACTGCCGCCGTGGAAAAATCAAGAACAACTCCGGCAACAACAAACGCCGGTAAACCATATTCATCAGCCTTAACGACAACAGCTGCCGCGGTGAATAATCAGGAACAACGCCGGCAACAACAACTGCCGCAAAATCATATTCATCAACCTGAATATTTGGCGCCGTGGAATAATCAAGAACAGATCCGGCAACAACAACTAGCGGAAAACCATAATCATCAGCCTGAACAACTGCCGTTGTGGAATAATCAAGAACAGCTCCGCCGAAAATAACCGCCGCTAAACCATATTCATCGGCCTCAACAACAACTGCCGCGGTGGAATAATTAGGAACCGCTCCGGCAAAAACTTCTGCCGCAAAACCATATTCATCAGCCAGAACAACTGCTGCCGTGGAATAATCAAGAACAGCTCCAGCAACAACAACTACCGCAAAACCATATTCAACAGCCTGAACAACTGCCGCCGTGGAAAAATCAAGAACAGCTCCGGCAACAACAAACGCCGATAAACCATATTCATCAGCCATAACGACAAGAAATGCTGCGGCGGAATAATCAGGAACAACGCCGGCAACAACAACTGCCGCAAAACCATATTCATCAGCCTGAATAGTTGGCGCTGTAGAATAATCAAGAATTGATCCGGCAACAACAACTGGCGCAAAACCATAATCATCAGCCTGAACAACTGCCGTTGTGGAATAATCAAGAACAGCTCCGCCAACAATAACAGCCGCTAAACCATATTAATCAGCCTCAACAACAACTGCCGCGGTGGAATAATCAAGAACTGCTCCGGCAACAACATCTTCCGCAAAACCATATTCATCAGCCAGAACACCTGCTACCGTGGAATAATCAAGAACAGCTCCGGCAACAACAACTGCCGCAAAACCATATTCATCAGCCTGAACAACTGCCGCTGTGGAAAAATCAAGAATAGCTTCGGCAACAACAAACGCCGGTAAACCATATTCATCAGCCTTAACGACAATAGCTGTCGCGGTGGAATAATCAGGAACAGCGCCGGCAACAACAACTGCCGCAAAACCATATTCATCAGCCTGAATATTTGGCGCCGTGGAATAATCAAGACTAGATCCGGCAACAACAACTAGCGCAAAACCATAATCATCAGCCTGAACAACTGCCGTTGTGGAATAATAAAGAACAGCTCCGCCGAAAATAACCGCCGCTAAACCATATTCATCAGCCTCAAGAACAACTGCTACCGTGGAATAATCAAGAACAGCTCCGGCAACAACAACTGCCGCAAAACCATATTCATCAGCCTGAACAACTGCCGCCGTGGAAAAATCAAGAATAGCTCCGGCAACAACAAACGCCGGTAAACCATATTCATCAGCCTTAACGACAATAGCTGTCGCTGTGGAATAATCAGGAACAGCGCCGGCAACAACAACTGCCGCAAAACCATATTCATCAGCCCGAATATTTGGCACCGTGGAATAATCAAGAACAGATCCGGCAACAACAACTAGCGCAAAACCATAATCATCTGCCTGAACAACTGCCGTTGTGAAATAATCAAGAACAACTCCGCCAACAATAACCATCGCTAAACCATAATCATCAGCCTCAACAACAACTGCCGCGGTGGAATAATAAAGGGATTGTTCGAAACAGATTATCCAAAAGGGATTGTTCGAAACAGATTTGGCCGCCGGAAATAACCGACTATCAATCCCTTTCACACGGGTTCGCGATCACGGATTCTTGACGGAAGAGGAGGCTCGTTTCCTTACGACACGCGACCGCAATAACAAGATGAAGTTCAAAGACGTCACGATTATCGAGCCCTCGTTGCGACGGGAGAAAGTGAAGCTGAGCAGATGGGATATGAGAAAGGGTAACGGCAAGAATACGTGTTCCAATTACGTAATAAACGGAAAATGGAGACACATTGTCGAGAGGAATCGCCTTGAACCCGGGGATGTGGTTCAGTTATGGTCTTTTCGGATCAATCAAGAGTTGCATTTCGCTCTTGTCAAGCTCCCAGGTAATAAATAAATTTGGGTTCGTTAATTAGTTGTGATTAGGTTTGTTCACCCGGTTAGATTATTTGATGTACCATAAGTTTTGATATTA